TTTCCTTACCCCCCCCCCCCCCCCCCACCCAATAACAGCTAATTTCGTGGTATATTTTAAGGGTGGTTTAATAGTTGAGTTTGATATTTGATAATTTAAATATTTTAAGTTTAATATTTCTCATACCTCATAAGAGTTAATCACCTTTATTTTTCAAGGAATATGTTCTAAAATTTGATCGGATTACAGTGACCAATATTCAAACTTGAGAGAATAGTTGATCCAAACTTAAACACCCTATAACCAAAAAAAAAACTGATATTGAGACAGGTCTTAACTAATTTTCTTTCTTCATGTTCGTTCCGATAGTGCCATAAACAGTACACATCAACTAATTTCGATGTTAAATATACATTGTTCATAATAGAAGAAGAAAAAAATTTAGAACTTAAAGACAAACGAGTTTATTCCAAGTGACAAGAGTATCCATTTGCATAGTACATCATGCAATTTTGATCTCTCCTCCCACAGTGGGTGGTGAGGTTGTTTTCGTGCTCTCGAAAAAAGAAAGAAAGAAATTATAAAATTTATATTTGAAAAGATTAGAATTGACAAACGATTAATTGAATATTAAAAAATATAGTTCCTATAATAAATCATTAATAATGAAATTCAAACTTAACGATTCAGACGATAATAAGACACTGTGGGATAATATTAACTAATTAGTTGAGTTATGTAAAACTGTAGAATGATATTAGATTATAAAATATCTCTTTAAATATGACTTAATCAAATCGTATTGATATTGATCGATACTTTAACTCATGTTTATGAGTCATTATTGGCCACGTCACTGCTAAACCACCTTAATATCAACATGTTTTTGTTCTGATTAAATGGTCAATTCTTGCTACAAGAGCCTTTTGACACACACGAACCCATCTTCAATTGAAAACTGATACCTAACAAGTTAGCCTAGCTATTATGTTCTTTATACGTCATGTATGAAGCTATACGAGGGTACAAGCTATTTCATGAATTATTTAATTTCGGTGTGAATGATTTATTTTTAATGGGATAAAAAAAAAGATTAATCGAAATATTCGTAAATTGATTCAAATCTTACTAACCATGAAAAAATAAATAAATAAATCTGTAGCACAAATTTCAAAATTCCTAAACTGGAAACTTTGTGTTTTGGCAAGAAAAGATAATTAGAAGACATAAGAAACAGTTGCAGAAAGATCCGGAGGTCATTAAAGGTCGGCGTAGATAAAAAATGTCGAAACACCTAAAAGGTCAATATTCGTCGTTGAAACCCATTGGCCCATCGTTGTCTCTAATCGACCACAATGTCCCGTTTTTAACCGTGACCCCCACGGAAAGCTACACGTAAGAGATCACACAACTTCTGTGCTATTGACTTCAATCAANATGTACAAATAAATCGTTTGTCTATTAAGTTAAAATTAGATCACAAAATTTCCTTAACATTAGTGTTACTATAGTGATATGAAGGAGATTGTTTTCCTTGAAATACTCAACACCCAAAATGAAAAATTTCACCATTTCAAATAATGACACATACTCAACCCCAATTTTGATTTTACTCTTCAAGTTTATTGTGGAATTCATTGACAAAGTTACAGTTGATTCTTTGTATTCAAAACATCATCACAACTTTAAGATTCAAAAATAGAGTTAAGGTATGTGATTTTACATGAAAGTTGATGTTCATTGTAGGGTTTTACAAAACTTCTACATAATATATAGTTCAAACTGTCCGTTTTTTTTTTATATTTCTAACTTAAAAATTGAGATTCATTATTATTAAATTAAATTGTTATATAATTTGATCTTGTTGTTTTCTTTGTTGTGCAATACATTTGAAATACTTTGATTGTGTGTCTGTGAAATAAATCATATTACTGTGTGATAATTGAAAAATGAATTTCAAAATTTCGATGTCTTGAAGTTCTTGATAGGTGTTGAGTGTCCTAATTCAACTGTCAACGGTATGTTACTATTAGAATTTTTTTTAATTTTCAATTTGTGAATCATATTTTCATTATAATCTTTTAAAAATTAATGTTACTTTAAAAATTCTATTGTCTTATACTTTGTAAAAGTCGATGTGTCACTGAACACAAACCTTTGATGTTATTGTGAAAATTAAATGTGAATGTTACATAATATAAATCTAAAAATTTGCAATTCATAGTGTAAGTTAAAATTGGGCTTAAGTTTTATTATTTGAAATGATGGAATTCTTTATTTTAGGCATTGAATATTTTAAGGAAAATAATATCATTCGTGTCACTATAGTAAAATTAGTATCATTATAGTAGCACTAATACTAAGAAAATTTTGAATTGTTAAGAAAATTTTGAATTGTTAAGAAAATTTTGTGATTTGATTTTAACTTAATAAATCAACAATTTATTCGTACATCAAGCTGACATATATAACTATCAAAATATATAATTTTCATATAAAACTTCTGTTAATTATCATAATATTTAATAAACGATGTTCATATATAAATCAATTAAGGGTTTCCATATATTTCTCAATAATCTAACTTATGTGGAAGAGAAGGTAAGTCAAACGTCAGTTATTACTTTTTCAAAGGATATAGATACAATAGTAAATTTGACAAAAAAGTGGGTTTAAAACCAAATAAATTTATTTACTAAACCAATCATCCTAGAATTATGGTATTTATAAAGAATAAATATGTTATGACCTAATTTTAAAGAATTGTCAAAATTTGAATTCGGGACGTATGAATTTTTTGGTCTTTTTTAATAAGTTGTTTTGTTGTGTTTGTCATAATACCCTATTTTTATACATAATTTTTTTTACAAAATACCCAATTTTAAATATTTTTAATCGAAAGTTGGTACTCAAATTTTCTTAATGTGGAGCACATTACTCTACATTTGTTTAATAGGAGGGTGCAGAATAATAATGTCAATCTTTCATAGCAGAGAACGTGAAAATCTTTTGAGGTAGAAATTGTTATTTGCCCTCCCAAATTTTGCATAACTAACACAATAGTTTTCCTAATTGCAACAAACCATTAAGTCTTGCGTATCTCCACGTGAATATGTGCCATGAAAAATTCAGAAAAACTAAAAAGCACAATAGCATTATCCAGATAACTCCATTGACTCTCTCTCTCTTTCTCTCTCTCTCTGCAAATTTACTTTCTCTCTAAACTCAAAGCCATGGGTGTGGAGCCCAAGCTGGTCCTCTGCTTTGCTGGCTTCAAGCTTGGATTTTAATGGGGTTTGTCTGCTGAGAAAGACCAGGGTTTCACTTGGTCCAATCAAACAAATAATAGTCCTCTCCCTCATTGATAGCTCATTTTCACTTCTCTCTCTTGTTCTATCCCATCACCTCATCGTCTTCATGCTCAATAGAAGAGAGAGAAAACAAAAACACTCAAAACCCATTTCTTGTTTGATTTGATGGATCCACAGATCTAACCCTTTTTCAGATCTTCCTCTTTCCCCTGTAAAGGTAAGTTTTTAGTATTTTTTTTTGTTGGTATTGTGCACTTATACATGTGTGCATATATGCTGTTTTATTTGAAAAACATAAGTGTTGGAAGTTTTTGGGATATTAGGAAGTAGGGTTTTTTACTTTTCCATTGGTGATAATTTGACCTTCTGTATTTGAACTGGTTGGCCAAACAGTTGCCTAAGAAAAAAGTGAATTTGACCACTTTTTTTCAAAGCCCTTCCTTTTTGTGTTGGGGTTGAATTTTTCATAATTTGCGGCTATTGTTTGTGTTCATGGTTTTTTGTTCCAAGAGAAAAGAGAAATTGGATTCTCATATGAACCTCTTCTTCCCTGGTTTTGCAGCAATTTTTAGCTGAATTGAACAGGAATTGTGGCTTCTTTTTCCACATGTATTTGGTTATAATATGTATCTTTTTTTTATGAATGGTTAGGTTGTGATGTTATAAGCTCTAATTTTGTGCGTTATATTCCCTGTTGATTTTGTTGTAGACCTTTAGTGCATAAATTCATCGTCTTGTGCGAAGGGAACTTTCAGAATTGAAGTTTATTTAAGTCAGACTTATCTTGAGTCCACATTAGATGTGGGCATTTGGGGAGTGGTTTGGATGAGAATGAGGTATGTTATCTGGGTTAATGAACTTTTTGAGAGCCTGTTTTCGACCGAGGGGGGATCGACATGTTCACACGGGTTTGGATGCTGGTGGTCGCCAAGATGGGCTCCTCTGGTACAAGGATACAGGACAACATTTTAATGGAGACTTCTCGATGGCTGTAGTTCAAGCTAATAATTTACTCGAGGATCAGAGCCAAATTGAATCGGGTTGTTTAAGCTTGCACGATTCGGGGCCGTATGGTACCTTTGTAGGGGTTTATGATGGGCACGGTGGCCCTGAGACGTCACGGTACATCAATGCTCATCTCTTTCAACATCTCAAGAGTAAGTTGCTGGAACTGTACTGGAATTTGGAATTTCTATTCTCTTTGACTATTTCAAAATATTGATCCCTAGTTAAAAATGTTAGCAAACTTTGGTTATAAAGAAAAAAGGATAAAAAAATATTAGAAAAATGTTATTCGTATGTTCTATGTTCTTTTATTCTATTGCCAATGGGAACTGTTATTGTATAGAACCAAATAATATATAAGGTAGTTCAGTTTAGAATTCTAGTATAATATGATATGATTGCTTGTAGTGAACATGTTAAGATGTAAAATTATGCATCCTATCTTTTTACAACATTTCATTGGTAACCGAACAGAGATGTAATGATTGTGAACTCAAAGGAATTATCATCTTCAGTAACCCTTGTTTATGGGGATTAAATTTCTTTAACTTTTGGATTTGGGAGCTAAGGTTAACAGCACCTTCTTGTTGCAGGGTTTACTTTGGAGCACCAATCCATGTCAGTTGAGGTAATCCGGAAGGCATTTCAAGCAACAGAAGAGGGCTTTATGTCTCTTGTTACGAACCATTGGCCAATGAACCCACAGATTGCAGCGGTTGGTTCATGCTGCTTGGTTGGAATTATCTGCAACGGGACCCTTTACATTGCCAACCTTGGTGACTCCCGTGCTGTTTTGGGGAGACTTGTTAAGTCCACAGGGGAGGTTCTGTCCATTCAGCTCTCAGCAGAGCACAATGCTAGTATAGAGTCTGTGAGACAGGAATTACATTCTTTGCACCCCAATGACTCACAAATTGTAGTTTTAAAGCATAATGTGTGGCGTGTAAAGGGCCTAATACAGGTAAGTTTTTCTTTGCATTCCTAATGATTTTATGTGAGACTATCTCAGTTAAGTCTTACTTATTTTAATATTACTTTCTACAGTTACCTCTAAGAATGTCAATTTCATTCATTGTTTTACTTTTATTAAAGATTCCAACTATCCATTAGTAACAATGGGATCAATTTATATTTTAACTATAGGGTTTCCTGGATGAGGAGTTGTGCAATGTTTTGCCTAATAAATAGTAGCACTAAGGGCCCGATCTGCTTTGACCCAAAAAAATGGTCAGATGTGCAGACATTTGAGCAACTTTACAAATCCATGATAACTAGAAACATTTATATGCCAATATATCGTCCACAAAACACAGTCATACGTGCTGATCATGAGTTGGTCTTGAGTAATAATCGTCCAGTCAAGTTTTACTTGCTTAGGCTTACCCAATGAGCTGGATTGCAAGTGATTGCATGTGCGAATGCTGTTAATTTTTTACTTTGAAAGAAGAATTCCCTTATTTTTGTGTGGGTGAGGGAGTTAGCTTTGGAGATGGAGCTTTATGGAGCGATGAACTTTTATCTATCTCACTTGTGGTTATGTTTCAAGGTGCTTCTAGCCTTCTACTTTGCCATTCTGATCTTTGCATGTATTGACTGAAACAGGATGATTGATGAGCATGGTTTTCACAAATACATGTGTCGCCTTTTCTAAAATATTTCTGTTTACGCATGTTGCTTATAGTTTTGGTCTGCATAATTTTGCTGAATATGATGCATCTTAAGCTTTTTGGTTATTAGTGTTCTCAGATTGTCAGGATATTTTATCTTGCAGATTTCAAGATCCATTGGTGATGTATACCTAAAGAAGGCTGAATTCAACAGGGAGCCGTTGTATGCTAAATTTCGCCTTCGTGAACCTTTAAGGAGGCCAATACTGAGCTCAGAACCATCAATTTCAGCGCAACAATTGCTGCCGCATGATCAGTTTATTATATTTGCATCAGATGGCCTCTGGGAGCACCTAAGCAACCAAGAAGCAGTTGATATAGTACAAAATCATCCCCGCAGTGTAAGACAACCTATTGTTTAAATGTGGGCATTTTTTTTTTTTAGGTGAGCACGTTGGCGTTGGTAAAATTAAGATCTTTTTTGCTCGGTGGTATTTTTAGTCATAAAGCATTACCAGGGCATCAGCTTATACTGGCCAAGGTTTAAGTTTGCCCTCGTATCTTTGTTTTGGAATGGAAAGTATCAATAGGTTTGGTATTATACTTGTCTTCTAATATGATTTCACGCACACGGAAGGAGAAATTGCTCTCTGTTCATTTGTTATAGCTGTTTTGACTCTGGCCTTCTGATAGCTTTGATTCGTTCCTCTGACAAAGGATTTGCCTCTCATATGCATGGATAAGTCGTGATTATGAATAAGGATTACCACATCTGATCCATAAGATTGGTCATCTGTGGTTTATGCAAGAACATAATATACTAATTTATTTTTCACAACTTCTTCTGAACTTCTGCATGAATGCACTGCAGTCCATTAGTAAATTTGAAGAATTTATTCCACCTTTGTTCATGTCGTCTTATCTGATGCATGTGCCATCAAACAAGCTCCCGTGCGGATGATCTTTTTGCATAAATATAGTTCATTCATGTCAAGTACTGGATCTTATTTTTTAGAAAATGGTTGCTTTCATTGATGCAGGGAATTGCTAGGAGGTTGGTAAAAACTGCACTGCAAGAAGCAGCAAAGAAGAGGGAGATGAGGTACTCGGACTTGAAAAGGATTGCCCGCGGAATCCGTCGGCATTTCCATGATGACATTACAGTGATTGTTGTATTTCTTGACTCAAATCACGTGAGCAGGTCTAGCTCAACCAGGAGTCCTAATCTATCTGTGAAAGGGGGTGGGGTCAACCTACCTCCTAACACCCTTGCGCCTTGCGCTACGCCAACAGAAGCTTCCACTACTTGATGTATCTGTCCCTAATGTTGTTGTCTGTTTTACTATATTCGTGTGAATACAAGGTAGATTCTGAAAAGATAAGAAGAGCCGATCGTCAATTCTTTAATGTAAACTGTAACTGTCAGACTGAGAACTAATACTTGGGTTTAGTTTCTGTACCCATGAAAAAGAGAATGAGAAAGTTAACTTCATGGTGACAATCCTCATCGTTACTAATAGTGCGAAAACGAAGTTACTGATGGTTGTCTTGTTATTTTGAAGAGCTTCTCAAACGCGCTTTAAACCCTTTGATCCCTTTCATTTTTATGGCTTCAATAGGTGGAAACTGTAGATATATGGTTTAATTTTTGAAATATCGGAGTGTGGTTGTTTGCTTCTAAAGTTGTGCTATTCGATCTNGGGGAATTGACCCTTCCACATGATCTGATTTCTTTGGAATGTTCTTTTGGGCTACTCTTTCTTTTGTCTTTTACTTTTTTTTATGTATATTATCTTTCTTATTGCAATAATTATTTTAAAAGTTTAGCATCATGGTTGATGTGTTTCTATCCTTTGCCTGGCTAAGCTTGTGCTCTTGGGATGTCCAGTGGTCCATGAAACAGTTGATACAGGAAATGTTTCTAGCATAGCTCTTTTTTGTGTGGTTTTGCTGTGAGATATATTGTCCATTGATACCAAATTCAAGCTATCTCCATGTAAGATACCGATTGATCATGTGCTTCTTTTAGGGGGAAACTTTACCTGAACTTGATTACCCGGCCCCAAAAATGTTGAAATAAGGTTTTGTTCAGTTGAGTTATCGACCAACCTTTATGAGATGCTGCATTTGTGTGTTTATATTGGCTGTCAGTCTGTGCTGTGTAAATTTTTTGATTTAACGGTCAAAAATATCTGAAATAATTTATGTACGCCTCGTTAAAAGTCATGAATTGATTGATAAGAAACAGTTTCACATGAAGAAGCAGCCTAATATTATTTGACTTTTTATACGAAAACTACCAGTACCCACTTTAGTGCTTGGACAGCTGTCCCTGTTATACGAATTTGTAACCATACATCACACTAAAATAAAGTAGGATAACTTTGAAGTCCGTGTACAAATTTAGACGTATTTAAATTAAATTATATTAAAAAAATTTATTTAGTCTTAAGTATATATANAGAAACAGTTTCACATGAAGAAGCAGCCTAATATTATTTGACTTTTTATACGAAAACCACCAGTACCCACTTTAGTGCTTGGACAGCTGTCCCTGTTATACGAAGTTGTAACCATACATCACACTAAAATAAAGTAGGATAACTTTGAAGTCCGTGTACAAATTTCGACGTATTTAAATTAAATTATATTAAAAAAATTTATTTAGTCTTAAGTATATATTTTTTTTAAAAAGACTAAAAAATTATTTACAGCTCTATTACTCTCTCTCCATTATTTTTTTTCTCTCTCTTCCCTATTTTCTTAATAACTGGTAATTATTCATATCTAAAAACACTATGTACTAAATAAAAAAATTGTAAACAATTCTCTATGTTTAAGGCAATGTATATTACAAAAAATGACTAATGACAAAAATGGAANCTCTCCATTATTTTTTTTCTCTCTCTTCCCTATTTTCTTAATAACTGGTAATTATTCGTATCTAAAAACACTATGTACTAAATTAAAAAATTGTAAACAATTCTCTATGTTTAAGGCAATGTATATTACAAAAAATGACTAATGACAAAAATGGAACCCCCCCCCACAATACCTAAAGTAAGAATGGGAACCAAGTTGTATCATCTTATACTATGTCATATTATTTTGAATTCGTGTCAAAAATATCTCAAACTAAACACAACCTATTTAATTAATTGTGTGCATAACCTGACACTAACACTACTCGTATGTAAAACATTTAATTTGAACACAGTCTAGATAACACATTGGACACAAGTAATGTCTGGTTCACAAGTGCAATTGCTTTTAATCCAATTCACCTCCACATGAAATAAAATATAGTTCAAAACCTTAGTGATCTAATCTAATTGTAAGATAAAAGTCACCTATAGGCGCTTAATCAATTGCAACTTACAATGAGCTAACCTAACTGCCATAGGACACGAAAAAAAAAATCTACATCTTCGCGCCAAGGAAATGTGAATCTTAGCAAACCTTTAGTTTAGTTTTGACACCAAGAAAGGTCATACAACTAGGGTGAACCAGTTCAATGTCCAAAATTTTAATAGAAATTAGTTAATATCTCATATCTAGAGTAAATTTGTTGACGCCAAGGAAACCAACTTTAACAACCAATTAGCTCCTCCTGCCCACAAAAAAAAAATCAATGATTATTTTGATCCCTCCTCCATACTCTTTCCATTTTGAAACCGATAACCCACGCAAGTTGCTATAAAAATCTCATCCCCTCATCAAAAGCAGAATCTCATACTTTTTTATCTCCTTCCATAACAATCTCCAATAAATTCTTTCCTATATAGATAAAGAAATATGTTGAATTTTCATCATTCAATCCCCCAAATCAGTTGAGATAGAATGTAATAGATAACGAAATAAAAGCCTGTAATGTTCATTAAAATACAATGTGTTTTCACTTCTCATTTACCAAAAATTATTAAAAATATCATGCAAAGAAATGAACTTTTACCTGGCTGAAAGATTGCTTCAACAACTCCAAAAGGAAATGTTTTCACTTCGCTGTATTTAAGAGTTATTTCAATCCAAGCTATTCACCTATACTTGATATATTATAACAACAACATGAAATAACAAAAAAAAAAAACATAACAACATGAGAGGAAAATATAACTGTTAACATATTATCAATTTTAGATGTGGAATTGAAGATGGGAGAATTGTGTATACCTTTCTATTTGTACTACAATATACACACAAATTCAATTGCTTAACATTACTTATATTTTTATGCAACAACAAAATCTTTCTTATCAATAAGAGTTAGGCTCAATGCAAATACCCGAAATCTAATTTGAATAAATTTTAGCTATTTGAACCAATATCCAACATATCGATAGCCATTTGAGTTAAAACACATATTTAGGCAACTAAATCAACCCACTATACATGGGAGGACTTGACAAATAGTACATCAACAAAACAAATAGAACATCACAAACATCTTGGCAGTAGGTTTGTATTCATATGGTTTAAAGAGCACATCAAATTATAGAGAACATATATGGTTAAAAAAATAACATATCGTATTATAGATTAATTATTTCAATGAAACTATTTGAAGCATTTAGTACCTCATACTCTAAAACTTAAAAAGTAAATCACAACACTTTTTTACCATTGGAGTAATAGATTACCTAAGTGCCCGTCCACCTCTTCCAAGTTCTTGTGCAGACCTCTGCATTTATATTGTTGGTACTTGAAGTGGTCAAAAGAATAAAGCAAATTAGAAATCTTAAATGATGGTGCCAGTTCTTTTTCTCCAAAGAAAATTAGTGGAGAGCTTCCCAACCATCATAATTTATGATTAGACGACATAAACCATATGTGAGATGCCTGCTCACACTATGTATATGTTCTATGTTCATGTGTGTCCCACAGAAAATCTTAACGAACATCCTTTGTATATGTTCTATGTTCGTAACAGCTGCACAAAAAGCAACACACGAAAGCAAAATTTAAAAAAAATAATAAAATCGAAGCTTTAAGCAAAATATCAACATCCCAAAAAAGAATTCAACCTTTAAGCACAAATCAATTTTGTGTGTTTGCAAACGATGTGGTTTCTCTGTGTATGGAACACCTCTGTGGCCTTTGATCGAACACCTTATGAGTGTTGTGCGATGTGAGTGTTCAGAGAGAGAGAGAGAGAGGGAAATAGGAGCAACGATAGATGTGTACTTGGGCAACGATATTGGATGAGCAGCGGTTGGGTGTTTTACAGTAACAAACTGCACAGATTTAGGAGGTCAAAAACTTGTCAAATAAAGTAAGTTGAGATTGGATAGAAAATTGATACCTTGAGAGAAGTTTAAAATTTATGAACCAATTGGAAATCAATTGGAGAAAAGTTTGCCAATTCTCTGTATAGGATAGAAGAAATAGAGAAAGATTTGGTTTGCATGACAATGGCGTTGTTATATGGTTTTCGATTTGGGCATAACTGTGTGAGGTATAAAAGGAAAGAGAGAGGTTGGGCATGAGTGAGTAAGGCAGTTAAGGAAAGAGAAGCGGTGGGCTATGGCTTAGGCATTTGAGGGATAGACGTATACATATGGGACAATAGAGTTTTATAGAGAGAGCGGGAGCAAATTAAGGCANAGAGAGGTTGGGCATGAGTGAGTAAGGCAGTTAAGGAAAGAGAAGCGGTGGGCTATGACTTAGGCATTTGAGGGATAGACGTATACATATGGGACAATAGAGTTTTATAGAGAGAGCGGGAGCAAATTAAGGCGTGAAAGGGGCCGGATTTAAGATATTGGTTGACAGTGGATTTAAAATTTAAAATTTTTAGTCGTATGTGTTTTGAGAGAGAGAGAGAGAGATGATATATGAGAGATAGGAGTCTTCAGTTGTATATATGATGAAAGACTTATTCAAATTTTTAGGTGGGAAAAAAATTATGAGCATCAATTAGGATGTCAGATCAATAATTTTAAAATAATTTGAACTGNAAAATTTAAAATTTTTAGTCGTATGTGTTTTGAGAGAGAGAGAGAGAGATGATATATGAGAGATAGGAGTCTTCAGTTGTATATATGATGAAAGACTTATTCAAATTTTTAGGTGGGAAAAAAATTACGAGCATCAATTAGGATGTCAGATCAATAATTTTAAAATAATTTGAACTGTTTTTTATGTTGGGATTACGTTGTCTGTTGGATGTGTTTATATTTTGTCTCAAAATGATCTGAACCTCTCTTTGTCTCTAAAATTCAAATTTAGTTTTACTTTATTATATATATTTTTTTAAAAATATATAAAAATTTAATTTAATTTTTTCATCTATCTCCCTTTTTTTTTCTCTCTCTCACTCCTTCTCCCTTTATTTTTTTTTTCTCTCACTTTTCTCTCTCCTTATATCAATGTTACACAACACAATTACACTAATCAGTTACACAAATTAATTACNTTATTATATATATTTTTTTAAAAATATATAAAAATTTAATTTAATTTTTTCATCTATCTCCCTTTTTTTTTTCTCTCTCTCACTCCTTCTCCCTTTATTTCTTTTTTCTCTCTCCTTATATCAATGTTACACAACACAATTACACTAATCAGTTACACAAATTAATTACAATTACCCTATAATA